CTCCGGTCACTAGACTGCCGCCGCATGACTATCATCGCCAAACTACCAGTGTCATTGAGTTGTTGTCTTTCAGCCATATTAATCAAACAGTTGTCACACAATCATCTTCGCTAAACCACCAAAATTGTTTTTATTAAGCATGCAAGATTTGAAGATGATTGCTGCTCTTCAGATGCTTGATTTAGATTTTGTTTGAGACAATTTTCATTTTTTTTTCTAAAGCAGTTTTCTAGTATAAAATTTATAGTTAAAAAAATTAATATTAAAAAGATGCTTTAGAAAGTAGTAAGAAAGTTGTCCTAAGCGAAGCCTTAAGCTTATTTAGATTAAGATAAAAAAAAACTTTTGATGTCATTGGCTCTCTCTCATTTAGATGTTTAATTCTACTATAATAAGTTTAACGAAATTGGTTTCATTAGTCTTGAATTTAATTTCAAAAGTTTCTAATTAAAATATTACATGTAAATTCATGTTTGATCAAGTAGATTATATGATTAAATGATTTTATGATCAAATGGAGAGAGGATTAGTGGAATTATAGTGATAATTTCCCAATCTTATATTTTTCTTTTTATATTTTCTAATTATCAGTTTATGGAAACTTTTATAAATCTCAACTAATTTAATTAATATAAATATTAAAAATTAGGAAAATTTACAACTAAATTTTTTATAGATTTACATATTTAACAACTAAATTTTTTAGCTTTTTAAACATCACTTTAATGTTTAAATCACATTAAAATATGTATTTTATTTTAAATAAATTATTAGTAGTATTATTTTTATGTAATTTAAAATTTTATTACGTATGTAAATACCTTTTAAATTATTATTAAATTTTTGCGATGAAAGCCTGAAATCTTCACCTATATCTTTTCTACTTAGAAAAAGAAAAGGTAGCGCATCTGAATTTAGTAAGATTGGACTATTTGAAAACCCTTCTATAATTTCACTTGGAATCGCTATTACTGTTTTTTTAAATAAATTTTTAATATAAAAAATTATTTTCTTTAATTAAAAAGTTGTTTTAAGAAACAATAAAAAAGTCGTTCCAAACTAAGTCTAAGGCTTCGTTTGGGACGGCTTTTTCATTGCTTTCTAAAACGGAGTTTTAGTACAAAAATAAAAAAATTTATACTAAGACTCCGTTTTAGAAAGCAATAAAAAAAACATCCCAAACGAAATCTAAGTCCACGTTATTATTTATTAAATAATAATAAATAATGAGATTTGATGCTATCTTCTAAAACAGTAATTTTTTAACTGTACTAATTATAATTAAATGTGATATCAGCTAATTTAGGCTTTGTTTGGGACGGCTTTTTTACCGCTTTTTAAAGCAGCTTGTTAATACAAAAATTAAAATTTTTGTATTAACAATCTGGTTTAAGTAGTAAGAGAGTCATCCCAAATAAATTTTTAATTAATGGAAATCTTAGAAATTATTGTTAAAAGATTATGTTCTAAAATCTTTATTCAAATTATTGATTTGTGCAGTCTTGATTAATTTATGTTAAGAATAATCCCATAAATACCCTTTAAATTATGCATAAGGGTTTGCCATTATATTGTCAATGACCTCTCAACGATGTGTATTATTGTCCTATTCCTTGTATCTCAATTAGGGCTAAGGCTTCAATTGCGATAATTTTCTTAATGTTTTTTAACAAAAATATTTTTAGTAAAAAAAAAATGAATTGAAATTAAAAAAAAAAAACTTATAGATCTAAAAAACTTCAAAGCTTCACTCAACATTCAACATCAAAGATCACTACTAGCAACTATTGTGGCCCTATCATAACATACGTCACCTTGCAACCATCGACAACTAGCTATGATTTTTCAACAACAAAATTCTGATTGCAGTCTCCGAACTACCATTGCTTGACTACCAACGCCCATCAACTTTATTACCCTTATTTTCATCAACAATATTGACATATATCATTTCCTGAAAAGACGATGCATGTCGTTTACATGATCATTGACGCTCTCCAACTTTATAACCCTTCGTTGTCGATGATATTGACACACAACATCGCATATGAAGCTGACGCACTCCATCAATACTAACACCGACATTCGTTAACTCCATCTCCATTAAAATCAATGCATATCATCACAAAGACGACTAATGCAAACGATTAACATCAATGTCAACACAAGTCATCATCAAAAAATTGACACATGCCATCGAAACAAATAGCAATGCCCGCTATTTCATCGCTCGTCACCCCTAACAACGTTGATGCATCTCATTGCTAACATTAGGGGTGTCAATTCCGGGTCAATGGTCGGGTTTGGGTCGAACCCGGAACTAACCCGGGTTCAAACGAGTCGACTCTAACCCGACCTGGGAAGGTAAACGGGTCGGAAATGCGAACCCGGACCAGACCCGATGGGTTGCCGGGTTGACCCGACCCGGGCATGCCTTTAGAGATTAATACGCTCAAAGAATTATTTTAATTGAGTCATGCCGTGTAGTTTTTCCCTTTTGAGTTTCATATAAGAAAAAAATTATATCTTTTATGAGCAGCATTCAACTTATCTATATTTATTTTTATGCTTTACTAAATGGAGATTCTCACCTATATATTATTATAACAAATTTTATTATTATAATAAAAATTTTAAAAATGTAGTTCTAATTGCCAGCACATTTTTATGCTGGAAATATCAAATTAGATTATGACAATTTGGTTTATTTGTACTGATGGTGACAAAAAATTACGGTTATTTTCTTCTTTTTCTGTGGATAAATTCGTATTGGATTTATCACCAAAAGAAGAGAAAATAGGTGGATCATTCCACTATAGAATAAGCATATTTATGAAAGAATATTTTTGTGCTAAATATTCTAACCGAAAAAGGTATTACGATGGAATTTAAAATTTGTTAATTTATTATGATATGATTACAAAATATAATTTTTTTTATATTTAAAACTTAGATTGACCATTTGATATTGAAAATATTTTAAATTGTAATTTATTCATAACCAAATTTAACCAACTAAAATTTAGTTTGATTCATTTATTTTAGAAAATAATTTGGTCAATTTATTATATTAACTTCTATTAAAATATAGAAATTATAGTTTACATTAACTTTATTTTTTTCTCTATTTTTATTTTTAATTCCTTTAAATATATTTGTTTAATATATCTCCACCTATTTTTTTAAAAATTATTTTTCAAAATTTATTGTAGCAAGTCGCCCGTTTAAAGAGTAACTTACGGTAGTATTTTTTTAAATAAGTCGTCATCAATTTGGCGACTAGCACTACTCAAGAAGTCTGAGTCAACATAAGTCTCTCATTAGCTAGGCGACATTACTTGCTTTTAAATTTATTTTTTTCAATACTTAATTACATTATTAAAATTTTTATAATCCCTAAATTAAAAAATTTCTCTTTTTTTAAATAATTATAGAAAGCAGTTTTCTAGTTTAAAATTTTCTTGAAAGCGATAAAAAACAGTGACTAAATAGAAATTGTGGTTGTGATCTAAAAAGCAAAAAAATTATAAAGTTGACCCAAACGAAGTTTAGGACTTCATTTTGGAAAGTTTTCTTTTTGCTTTCAAAAGCAGATTTGTAGTAAAAAAAAAAATTTAAAATAAATTTTTGTATACTAAAAAGCTATTATAAAAAATGGTAAACAATTTGTCCCAAACATATATAACCTAATTCAAATTAGAAAATACAAGCAGTGAATTTAAAATTATTTCCATTAAATTCTAAGATTTTGAGCCAGTTGAATTTGATTTATAAAACCAATAATAATAAAAAATCAAGATGACACCCACAGGATGGCCTTGAGATTGGTTTATAAATATAAACCGAAAATCAAATTGGCACTGACCGACACAAAGCAGTTGGTTTTTATTTTAGAACAGCTTAATTTTGTTTTTCTCTATTAATATTTGGTTCACTTTCAAAGTCAAATTGAAATAAAAAAGAACCCTCACACTTGAAACAAAATATTTAAATATATTGGAAAAGGCTTTCAAATTTTGTGAGAGAGCTTTCCCATGGTAACAATATTGAAAAGCTAGAAGAATTTGGATGGATTTTATTATTATTATTATTATTATTATTATTATAAATAGCAACAAACCATCATTTATCCTGTCAAAACTTTGCACACCATCAAGATCTTATCGCAACTTCTTTATCATCAAGTTTTGCATGCCACTCTTCTCAATTTTCCCTAAAGTTTGAAGGAGACTTTTCTATCAAACAACAAGCCCGGTGCATTCCTCCACTTCAACCATCCAACTTGAATTATACTAATAATATCCCATCTATTTCACCATCACTCTAAACAATAGACCTAAGATATCAAAAACGTGTACTCTTATTAATGACTTGATCAGCCAAAGTCACAGTCCCCCACTAGATCTATATTACTAAAATTACACTCCATATATTCAATCTTAGATCTACTCAAACGAAAGTCTTTAGACTCTGAGGTTGATCTCCATAATTCAAGTTTACCTTCAACTCTCTTTCTAGTCTTATCAACAAAAAACATACACCAGTACAACCTATTGCAAATGTCAGTATTAAACATGTTTTATAGTTGTCAAATTTTGAATAAAATATATTAAATATAGCACAAAGATATTCCTCAGCAAAGCAAATATTGAATAATTAGTTAAATATAATTTATAGAAGCCAATTTTTTTAGATTAATATAATATATGATTAAACAATCAAAATTATATTTATACTCATCTCACATAAATATGATGACTACAAAACTCATCTTAATCAAATGTGTTAAAATATATTCAATATAGGGTCAAAGCTAATAATCATGAAATTTTTTTAAAATTGATTTGAAACATTAATGCTAACAACAGATTATTCTACATTAATGCTAACAATAGTGTTGTGCTCTGCATCTACATATATTTTTTACTTGCAACAGATAAAAATTAACTGTATCAAAGTGCAGCAACAATCAAAAGTACTCTTCAACAATAATTCACACATTTTGGATGATGATTGTAAAGATTAAACATGGATGGAACGTATAGTTTAGCACATTCAAACTATCTAAGTGATAAGAAAGAAAAAAATTGCTTTGGCAAATATTTGATTTTCAATAGTCTTTTCCTTGAAAAACTCAAAAGGTACAGAACTAATAAACCAAGGACTTCATAGACCTACAATGGCGATTCTCATAGCAAATAAAAACGTGAATCTAGGAAAAGAAAAGTATGAGATTTTCAGCATGAACGATAAAGATTAAAGAGCACCTCATATGAGTTCCCAGTAAGCAACTATTGTTTAACTTCTTCAGTTTAGCATTTCAATAAATTCATTGATGTGTTCTTCACGGTTGCCAGAATCACCTCCATTTTTGTATGGCTTTTTCTTCATCGTAGGAAATCTCTCTGGCCGTTTAAGTTTGAATGGCCATAGAAAGCTAGCCACTGTTTTGAAATGTGGGCCAACTGTGGCGATTTGATGAACAATATCTTCAATACAGATGATACCATACTTCCCAAGCGCCTACACTCAGAAGAATAAAATGATATACATCACATATAGTAAATCCAATAATGACATGACATAAAGAAGGTAGTCAAATGTAGGGTTTTGTTAATTTGCCCAACAGATTAATGAACGGTTGAAATTTAGATTAATATTTTGGCTCGGATTGAAATTAATGAGAATATTTAATCACTTAATTTCCAACCATTACTTGCATGATTTGCAATTAGTTATCAACTATGGAAGTTAGAGCTATTATTATTATATTGTTATCATGTTAATATTATCATATATAGTTAAACCTTTATTAGAAATTTGAGGTTTGATTATCATAATATAACCACATTATTGAAGATATTCTCCTTTATTATATTTCCTTATTGTTTTATTTTCTTGCCTTTATATAATCATGTTATTACTAACTTTATATATTATTCAAATCAAGATATATTCACAAGGATTCTTTTTTTTTTTTGGACATTTAGTCCAATTAAGGCAGACTCACACACACATCGCATACACAAGACTCAAACCCAAGACCTCTAAGTCGGTAGCCTAAGCTCCCAACCAACATAATAAGATGAGTTGTGTAAAATTCACGAAGATTCCATTCGCCCTCATCCATTACAAAGCCTATTTGATTCATTGCCTTCATACCCACCCAAAGCCTCTTCGAATCTTCGATCAACAAACTGCACATATTATTTTGCTCTCACACTTCACTCAACCCTTTGCTTTGATACTGCTTTTTGATTCAATTGCTCGAAAACACCGACCCATTTCGAACAATCACATGAATCCCTTCGCTCACCATCTCTCGTGCCGCAGTTTGTGGCCGCTCGTTCACCTCTGCAACCACTGTCACACAATTATGCTCACTTGCATTGCCTCTTGGACATGGTTCTTTCGCTTTCCTACTCACAAGAACCTCTTCACCCACACCTAATCATTGTAATTTGCCTTACCAACCTCCCCTCCCACTACTACTACTCTCACTAACTTGGATATTCATCACTCCGCTCACTTCTTCACTCATATCTCATCGTGAAGATCCTATGAGAATTTAGTCTATTGTGATGATTTTGTAACCTTCGATCTCAATAAAAGTTGGCTTAGCATCAATATCTAGGTTATTCTCAATTTTCCAGAGAACATCTTATTCTATCGTCCAGCGAAGGTGTAAGAGATTCCATGGATCACTATATAATAAGTTTGGAGGAAAACATGCAGGAAGTGAGGAATGTGAATCTCAAAAGTTATCTCCAGAAACTACTAGGGAGGCACATAGATGTATCTGCATATATATCGAAGGTTTTACAATGAGACCACGAGGGAAGAATAGGGCAATCTTTGTGGCCAAGTAGCATCTTAGTGCCCTGAAGAGGATAAGCCCGAGCCATAGAGCAGGACTCGAGGATAGTGGCTGCAATAATGGTGGGAATCCCAAATGGCCGATTATGCTTCTTAGCATTGTGAGCTCTCATACTCTAGTGGACAGTGGCACAATAGAGTTGAGCCCAACCAATGTTGGAGTCAGAAAGATGATATATAGAAGGCCGGTTTTGCAAGTTTGTGAAGATCGACAGATGAAATCTACATTTCGTACAAATCTCGAGAAGGTCCAATAGTCCCAAGCAATTGGTCGCAACATGGTCGATGCTCTCGTCGGTCTGGCAGCCTATTGGGCATCAAATAGCAGTAGTCATCACCTTCAATGAAGCCAAACATTAGTATGGCATTTCAAAAGAGACACCACTCTTGTCTCTGGGGAGGAGCCACAATTCTCAAAGCCAGGGAAATCGTTCAGCAGAACTTGGGAACATTGTGTCATGAGCAATAGCAGTAATAGTATTGCCTAGGGTGCAAACGAGTCGAGTCAAGCTCGAACCAGAAGGTGTTCGACTGTCGAGCTCGAGCCAGAAGGTGTTCAAGTCGAGCTCGACTATCAAATGCCAAGCTCGAGCTTGAGCTCGAACTCGAGTTGAGCTCAAAATCCGAGCACGAACTCGACTCGTCTTCATGTAGAGCGGCTCGTCGAGCTGAATTATTTGCTAATTGTATTAAGTTTACTTAGTCGAATTATTTTCTTCCCCTTTACACAATGAGAATAAGCCACATAGCCAAACCAATGAAATCCTAGTGTTTGTAACTACATCTCCAAGAAACTCTCCCCCAATTCTCTCTCCTCTCACCAACTACAAGCTTCATCACCACAATAGAAAGAACGTGAGAATGGCAGCTCCCTCTTCCCATCTCATCAAAACACCCCATGTCACATACGCCTATAAAATCACAAATTAAAAAACAAAACTCAAGTGATTGTTATCAGTAAGAATAATTATTTTTGTATTCAATGAATTATCTTTTTACTATCCCGGCTATGTAAGCAACAAAATTTAATACATGAATATGGGAATACAACACATATAATCATTAAAAAAATGAAAGAAAAAGTAAAGTACATAAATATTCAAAATTAACAGTGCTTGAAAAAAGATTCAACCCACTAATATCCACTGCAACTACTATAAAGCACACAAAAACAACAACCACCAGATCATTGTGCTCACCAAACTTGAAAATCTTCAACAAGTTAATGCTTTAACCTTCCACTTCTCACATAGAAAAATATAACAACGGAAAATTCTTACACACTGTCTATAGATTAAATGTCATTTAAAAGATAGTCTGTCATTAAAAGATGATTCAACAATAACAAATAACCTGATCCAAACCAAAAATAACCATCAATAGTATCCTAAGAAACCATTATTGAGTCTTAAAATTAATCTAAAAGTTATGAACCATTATTACTAGTACTAAAATTTTTGTTCCAAGAAGCGACACACTACTTCCCTACATTCCTTGCCATACCGAAACATATAACCCACCTCCCATCACTCAGCAGTCAGCACCCACCACCCAACAAAAAACAATTCATTCACTTATCATTAAAAAAAAAAAAGCAATTCATTCACTTATCATAAAAAAAGCAATTCATTCGCTCTTTAAATCTCACTATTCTTTCACTCATTTCTGATTTAGATATTCATTTTCTAAACTGCAAGATCCTACAAGATAGTGATGGTACTTGATTTTCCAAAAAAAAAACATCCTACAACACAAATAAATTGCGATGGAGAAACTAATTATAAGAGGTGATCTCGGCGCATTATACATATTTAAAATGATAAGTGAATTCACTATGTCAATGACCTTGCTCTATTTTTTTTTAGTTGATTAAAATCAATTATATAAAAAAAAAATCTAAAAACTAGAGAAGGTGAGTAAAACAGTAAATATGTACCTGTTCGATAACATTGTTGTCAGTGAGAGGCACTGGTTGTTTGTCTATCATTCCGCAACCCTTTTTATAAACTAGCTCTCTCACGTTTTTCAAATTAGGATAGCTGTATAAAATGAAATCCAATGGATATATGTCCTTAATCTTTGTAAAAACAAGCTAAATTCATCAAGAAATCCTTCAACAAGAAATATAGGAGAAATTTCTTCTGATTACCCATAAGTAATAAATGGTTCAACACTAGTTAACATTCTGAGTACCGAATCATTGGCTCTTAAAAATACACCACTAAGGATATGTCTCAATCTCAACCTTCTCAAAACTTTTCCAGTTTGTGGACTCATATCATTCTTTCTGCAAATAAAGCAAAGAGAACATAGAATTACTCAATAGTGCATAAAACCAAAACCCACAGCATGAGAAAAATATTAATTATAATAATTATGTATGATATATGAGTAAAACAAACCCTCGTGTGCGGATAACAAAGAGTAAATTAGACTTCAAGTCAATTGCTGGCAATTTCCTCAATTTCAATAATCTTCGTCTTGCTCGAACCCGATCCAACTCCTACAAAATATTTAGTTAAATATAATAGAAAAAGAATCTTATGTAGCTAAACTAAAGCATAGAAAATAACCCTCGCCAACGGTTAACGTTACAAATGGAAAGTTTGCCATAGAAATGAAAAAAAAAAGTTTCGCATTGATAACTCATATGAGTTAATTTCAAATTAGGTTAGCAATTAATCAATATTGTTTTGTTGCATGATCCCATCGAGCATTGGCTGCATAAAGCCATTTCATGGTCAAACTATACAATAAAAGAATCATCAGTGTTCTTTTTCTTCAACCTACAATCTCATTATATTGATCAACTTACTCAACAAGAGCTTACTACAACCACTATCACAAAAAAAAAATCCTTAAAAGTTAGAAGCTATTAATTCACTTAAGGAAAATAGCACATTGGCCATATATTGATCAACTTACTCAACAAGAGCTTACTACAACCACTATCACCAAAAAAAAAAATCCTTAAAAGTTAGAAGCTATTAATTCACTTAAGGAAAATAGCACATTGGCCATATAGACCACATGGCCAATCCATCTGAACAAAGTAGATAAAATTATAATAAATTTTTGAAAATCAAATACTAATATGAAAATATATATATATATATATATATGAAAATTATAACTACAAAACACTAAAATGAAAAATATGATAGCACAATGTGCACGTAACAAATAAGAAGACATTTTGAAACGTCATCTGACCATTGGCAATAAGAACTTTTACCTTGTCACGGTACTCTTTCACAAACTGCTCAGGACGTTTGATGGCAAATTTTTTGTTCTCAGCGTATCGTCTCTTTTTTGCATCAACCCGTTCCCTCTTCTTTATAGCCCACTCTTCATTAACTTTTCTTTTCCTCAACACGGTTTCATGGACATAGTTAAGGGGCTTCGCATCCTCATCCACCATGACCATCTAAACTAGAGTTACTTTTCTGAACTACAAATAAACAAAAACATACTATTATTTCAAGAAAAATATGAAACTTCAAAAGTTCAAGAAATAAACTTCATGGTGGAGAAAAGCTCATAATATTCAAAAATAGTTTACAAAACTAAGTTATGTCAAATCCTTAGACATAGGGAAAGATTCATTTTTTGGTGCAAAATTACAATTATTATTAAGACGCCAAAGATATTAAATGCCAATTTTATTTATCAAATATTGTGTTTGGCTCATTATTAATGCTTTAAAAGATGTCAAGATTATATAGTTTGTTACCCATTTGTTTGACCATTATCTCTTATATTACAAAAAATTTCCATAAGGTTACCCCATGTAATTGATCTACATATGAGATATCTGAATTTTGTTTCAGGAACTTACAAAAGCTCAAAGACAATTGAAACCCATGAAATAAAGATGGATTTTGGAGTTTGGTCTTTCCATTCATATTTTAAGTACTACAACAACAACACGCCTTTATCCCACTATATGGGGTTGACTACATGAATCATTTTTCTCCATTGTCCTATTAAGAGTCAATTTTTTATTAAAATTTAATAAAAGAATGTCAATTTTAATACTTTCTAACCAAGTCTTTTTAAGTCTATCTCTACCTTTCTTAACATAATTCTACGTTTTATGTGACCAAATCATCTAAGGCGGCTCTCTCTAATCTTATTTGCTACAAGAGCTACTCCAACTTCCACATATATACTCATTTGGCATTTTGTCTCTGAGTGTAAAACCACTCATCTACCTAAGCATCCTCATCTCTACCTGTGATATTTTGGAAGTATATAGTAAAATTAATTATTTTATATTGTCTAAGCATAATCAAAATCTATTCAAAGTTCTAAAAATGAAAAAAGACCAGTAAGAAGCTAAATTTTGGTAGCAGGATTTAAGCAGAAATTAACCTAAGAGGTTAATTGGAAACAGGATTTATGCTAAATGCTGCCAAACGGGATTTGAGAACATCTTAAATCTCAGGGTGGAATAAATCCTCCGTCGCCGAAGAAGCGCGCGAAAGAAGAGAAAGATTGTTACCTTCACAGCGAGCGAGCTCCCCTCGTTACTCCCGATCCAACAGGAAGAAGGTCGTCGAAATGTCGTGACTTCCGATCTGACAGGAAGTGAACGTCGTCGAAGGAGCCAAGAAGCGACTTGTCGCAGAGAAGTCGAACAGAAGAAAGGAGCCGAAGAAGCGACTCTCGAAACAACGAAGTCGAATCACGAAATAAAAGGGAAAAGGAAACCCTATATGCCTCCTAAGGAGCTGTTTGGTATCAGATTTATCGTGGGATTTAAGTCGGATTTAACGGGATTTAGCCGAAGAAGCGCGCGAAAGGGAGAAAGTTACCTTCACAGCCAGGGAGCTCCCGTTCTTGCTTCCGATCAAAATGTTGTAACTTCCGATCCGACCGGAAGGTAAAGTCGTAGAAGGAGCGAAGTCGAATAGCCACGAAGGAGCCGAAGAAGCGACGCGGGCAAAATCTATACACCTTCTGCAAAGCAACGAAAAGAGAAGATGAAATGTAAACCCTAGACGCCTCTAAGTTATTATTGATTAACTTAATTAATATAATGTAAATTATTAATAATTATGTAAATTAATTAAATAATTAATTGTATAATTAGTTCATACATTTATTATCTAATTTAACTTAATTGTATAATTAGTAATTAAATAATAATATAATTAGATTAATTAATATAACTTAAAATATAATTATGTAAATTATAATTAAATAATTAGTTAATAATATAATACTTAAATAAATAAATATTTAATTATTAGTATAATGGGTTATTAAAATTTATTAAAATAAGAATTAATTAAATAATTAATAATAAAAGTAGTAATTAAATAATTTATTATTTCAAATAATAATTAAATAATTAATTGTATATTTATAAGTATAGTTACTAATCAAATATTTATTAGAATAACACTTACATAAGTAATTAAATAATTAATATTATAATTAATAATTTAGTCATTTATTAAATAATTTGATATTAAATTAACTTCTAATTATATTATGTATAAATATAACTAAATGATGATAATTAAAATTACAACTAATAATTAACTAGATTTTAAGACAAATAAAATTTGATTTTTAAAGAACTAACAATTTTAATCTTAAATTACATTCTCAAACAATTTCACATAATTTTTTAAAATTAAAAAAAAAATTTGTCAAAAAAATTTCATGATTTAACACCCATAGATTTAGTAAATCAGTTAAATTCCTCTAAGAGCTGTTTGATTTGCTGGAAAAAAAAAGTAAAATATTTCAAATATAAGGGTTTAGAGAGAATATCTTATTTGATTTTTCTAAATATTATGGAAAAAAATTAATGAATTTCTCATATTTTTAAAATTGGTGACTTTTTGAACTATTACATTTTGAATTCATTTAATTATTAATACTTTAATCTTAGTTATGAACTTATGCTATCAGAATTAGATTTTTAAATCATTAGTTTGATCATTCTAGTTAATTTTTAAATGATTAACTTAAATGAATATTATTCAGGATTTAAATCAAAATATTAACATTTAATTATCCTGAAGATAGCTCAAAATATCATAACGTAACTGTAGTTAGAGAACAGATATCTACAGTAGAAATAAATTCAGAAACAAGCAAATATTAGACATCATTAACATTCACATATCTAATAAGGATTTCTTAAGACCGATTTGTATGATGAAATTTTCCCAAAAAGGAACTATGATTCATAGCCGTATAAGAAATAATTTAAGCAATTATTTTTTATAAATGTAAGGATGTCATTACAAATAACTCCAAAAAATAAAACCAAATCAAAAGCCTCAGCAAAATTTCCCGTGCAGAGAAATTATTATGTGGGGAAGCTGGATGCAGAATGTCATTCGAAGATTAATCAGAATGCATCACATCTACAGTACCGAGCTGCAGTAATGAACGAAAGGGTGGGTGACGTGGTGTATTATGATTGGTCTCCAGACAACGTTTAGCATCAACACATAATAATTAATCCTCGCGACCGAATTAATAGATGGATAAATAATAAGATGAAGTGCCGCAAACTTCAATTGTGTTTTTAGAACAGGTTGCATTTTCCTTATGATAGCAGACTGACTCTCTTGCCTTCAACATGGAATGAGTTGCTGCCTTCCAACTGCAATAAGATTTACAATGTCTGCTTCCAGTTAGCTAACAATCATCTAAAGTTGGATATTCAAAACTTACAATGATAAATTGAAAGATGTATATGCACATGGCAAAAGACTAATATGGAGGCTTTGACATGTATTCCATTCCATTTAGAATGAGACTGCAAGAAATTATTCTGTGCGGACACCGAACTGACAGAACCATCCAGATTGTCTCTGTAAATAGTAAAAGCGCATTGAACTACGCTTTTACTATTCACCACTGTGCTTTTATTATTCTCAGAGATAAAATTGAACGGTTCTCTCTGTCCGATGTCCGCACATAATATAATCTCTCTGAGACTGCAGGGATAAGTCAAATTTTGTATAGCTTTCAGGCCCTTACTCTGGTTTTATTTCAATTAAGACATAACGATACTTTATTTTGTGCTTTTCAAATAAGAAAACTGTACATGCAGTCACATTAATTAAGTTTGTTGCAAAGTGGGCGAGATTTTGAAGGTAAAAACAACCAGGGGACTCAACTTTTGAGTTCATTAAGGGCTCATTTGGCTGTTTGCAAATAGAAAATATATTATAAAAAACAATTATTTTTTTATTCACTTTAAGCATAAAAATAAAATAATGATTTATAAAGCAGATTTTTTTGAATGATTTGCATTTTTTTTTACTGAGTTGCAATTTAAAGCAGTTTTTTAAAATGATTTGCAATAAATCATAAAGCATGCGGCTTACTATACCTTTTCTTTCAAGTAAGAGAGAGCTTCCTGCTTTGAGCAATATTTTGAAAAAATATTATCTGAATGAGCCTCCAGAAGTGCTTTAAGCTTCTTCAACCTCAACGTTTGGGAAGGTGCCTGGTATAATGCAAATTAGCAATGCAATATACAAAGACCAACAAATGGAAAAATTTTACATAATTTCATGTTAACCTGTCGAAGCAGCTCTTTAGACAATTTTTTTAGTTTGGTTTTAGCTTCAGCTTTGGCCATCACCGGTAAATCACTTTGCTCCTGCTTTATGACGCCATTGGAAGCAGCAGAACAATCATCATCGTCGTTGAAAGAAGTCTTTCTCCCTTTCCAGTAGCTTCCAGCAATCTTTTTAGGCTTATCCCGAATACCAAGCCCCTGTTTTCCTGACGTAGCCTTATCCTACAAAAACCCAAAGCACGCGATCAGATTAATTTCCTTGTAAATTGAGGATGTATGCATTTCTAAATTTATTATTAAAGAGTAAATTTAGGCTTCGTTTAGGACGGCTTTTTTATCGCTTTTTTAAATAGTTTTTTAGTACAAAATTTTTATTTTTTTACTAGAAAGCTGCTTTAAGAAGCAATAAGAAAGCTTTCCCAAACGAAAAACGAAGCCTTAGTCGCTAAAAACAATATCAATCAAAGTTAAAAAATAGCCAATTTGAATAGCTCAACTAACAACTGCGCCAACTAAAAGTTTGTGCAGTGGAATGATTAAGAATTTACGATTAATGAATCATAAGGACACTCAGAATAATTTCCTTGCTAACGGAGGATGTAAGCATGTTTAAATTCACTATTAATTGGTAAATTTAGCCGCGAATATCAGGATGAACAAAACTTCAGAAAAATTAAACTTGGATTGATCAACTAACACCTGCTCTAATTAAAAGTTTGTACAGGCAATGAATAAGATTAATGAATCGCGAGGAATTGAACCAAGAGAGTGACTTAATGCTTGACAAAGATATAATAAGAGCTAAATCGAGTGAAAACTAATTCTTCAACCGGAACAGCAGGACGAATAAAAGCCAATTGGAATGGGACATTACTATTGAAGTGAAACAAAAAGAATTTATACTCATGTTGACTATGGAGAAGCCCAAAAAAACAGAAAAAAAAGGAAAAAAACTACCCCAATACAAATAAACTAAACTAAGAAGGCAAAGAAGCAGCTTAATAGAACAAATAGAAGAGGACCTGCAACAGGTATTTGGTACTTAAAATTAATGAAGTTTAACTTGAATACAATGCATATTTGAATGCCTTCTTCTTTTTCTTCTTCTTCCTTTTTTTTTGTAGTTGTAACACCAAGTGGTTGGTGGTGCAGAAAGAAATTGTTGTTCAAAAGGGTCCTGAAGGCTGCCTAGGCAGAAACTAATGTTGCTCATAGTGAATGCAAAATGACGTATTCATGTCCTGCTCCTTCACCTTAAATTGATGGCAACCCAAACGAAAGTAAATATTCAAGAACACAGATGCACCCTCCATCTAGTCGAAAAGCTGCAATCCTCAAAAACAGATAATTATTCTTGATTGGCACCTTTTTGAGCTCTTAAAAATCAATACAAAGCCTCATGTTATTGTTTTTCTTCATAAACATAACAAATGCTCCCCGCATAGATATCATCAATCGAACAAATCTTTTGTCAAGTCGGCCCTTCAATTGTTTCTTTAGCTCCTTCAATTCAATTATTGCCATCTAGCAGGACACACGAGTGATAGTTCACATCCTAAGTTCAATTCTATAGTAAATTCTATCTCTCGATTGTGTGACAAACCAACTACTAGGGAATACAACAATCAAATCTAGTACAATGTGGATCTCTTCCAGCCAGCCAACCAAACTTTTCTACCTGAAACCCAATGTGGACTAAGTCGGCTTGATACCACCACCACCAACAACAACAACATCAAGCCATTGTCCCACTACGTCAGGTAGGCTACATGAATCCTTTTTCTCCATTGTGTCATGTTAAAAGTCAAATTCTCGTTTAAATCTAATAAAGAAAGAAAATTTCTAATATTTTCTAACTAAGTCTTTTTAGGCCTACCTCCACCTTTCGTAACATAAATCAAATATAATACCTCCACCTTTCTTAACATAAGTCAAATATAATACCACTACATTCCTAACTGGATCATCAGAAGGCCGTCGTTTTATATGACCAAACCATCTAAGGCGACTCTCTCTAATATTATCTTCCACTGGCGCTACTCTAACCTTTTCACGCATATGCTCATTTCGTATCCTATCTAAAAGGGTAAAAACACTCATCCACCTGAGAATCCTCATCTTTGCAACACTTAACTTAGTATTATGCTTCTCTTTTAAGGGCTAACATTCGACACCATAAAGCATTGCAGATCTCTTTTAAGTAGGCTTGAACCCGCTCAATAAAAAACTTGCAAGCTCTAAAGGTGAACGCAAAATTTACAAGTTCTCAACTATATTTATGGAGAGTAAGGCTCAACTTATTTGGGCCCTTAAACTCTAAGTTCTCTTGACAATCTAATGATATGTTGTCAGATCATCCAATACATTCAGAGTATTTGATGTAGAACAAACATATGAAGATGAGTTGCTTAAGGAAATTTGCACGCTTAATATTTCGAGAACAATATTAAATAAAGCTTCTGCCGATTTAAACGCTAAGATAAAATAATAAGACGATAAAACAAGCTTACGCTAAATCACATGCATAGGAGTTAAGATCATAATACAGTCTGTTTATTCTAACATTGCATACATGATTGGTTTTCAATAGTAAATCCCAATGTTAACAATAAGATTTGTCACTACAAGAAGATCCTTCACACAACTCGTCCAATTACTAAGTTTTAGCGGAGAAGATTAGCATGATTTCCATTAATCAAGATATAACCACAATCGAGAAGTAGACTAAGAAGATAAGAGAATAGGAGGAAGAGTTTACCCAAAGAAAGAGGTTATACGAAGTTCCGGTGGTGGTTTGAGGGCTTGAGAGGAAGTAGACAGCCAGTGGTGGCTCATTGGACATCTGGATAGCAACGCATTCGTTCTCGAACCCTTGGACAGCAAGTAGAAAATCTGAGCCAGCAATTCCAGAAAGTTCTGGACGGAAACGGTAGCTTCTGAGGACGTCGGACAGCAAGAGGGCGGCTCTGGTTTTGCAGGACAGCAGTTTCCTAGCGTTAGGAGGGCTGGAACAGCAAAGGTCTTGGTTGGAAATTTCTGGACAGCAAGAACCTTGGCTGGAATTTTCTAGATATAGATAGCAAAATCTAGACGGGAATTTCCTAGACAGCAGGAAATTCTTCCAATGGAGGCTCTGGACAGCAGTGTGGGGGTTCAGACAACAGGCCAGCCCCTTTTCCTAGCTGAAATTCCCTTGATAGCAAGTAGGAGCTTCAGGAAAAGAGAGGGAAATTGAGGGTGACGGCTAGGGTGGATGGGGTTAGAGTGGGGCTGAGTTGGAAACTTAGTGGAGTATCTTATTTAGGTATGAGGGCACGGCAGCTGTTGGAAGAGCTGGCTTGGTGGTTTAATTAGGGAAGGTTAATTTGGATTTGAACCCATCCAATTGTTAGAGAGGGAAAGTGGGCCGGTCCTTGATGGGGATTTGATTGGGTGCTTTAAAAGGGGTTGCCAAAATTGGATATTTAAATTAAGAAAGGAGATTTAGAAGATCTCCATTTCAAAATTAAAATGAATTTGAATAATGAGACCTTTCCTAAATTAACTCGTCTCATTTAGGAAATCAATTTCATATTTTAAGAAGTTAAAACCTGATTTGGATGACTTTCCTAATTTAGTTTTTTTTATTTAGGAAAGTATTTGAAATTTGAAATTTGAATTTCAAATTACTTAAATCTTTTCCCAAACCACTTAGGCTATTTTAGATAGGTGTTAATGATAATTGATTTCATCATCCAAGGGGAAATAGAAAGGGGTGGCCGGCGGTGGGGCTAGGGCTAGCTAGGCCTGCGGTTTGGGGTGAAGGTGGGGTGGCCATCGGCATGTGGAGGGGGTGAGGGGTGACTGGTGGCTTAGAGGGAGATTGGGGAAAAATGCCGGTCGGTGGAGGTGGGTTGGATTGGCCGGCGGTGGTGGGAGGGAAGATAAGGTGGTCGGTGATAGGGAAAGGATAACAAAGAAAATACTACGAATACTAACCGTGAGTCCAGAAATCCACCGGTGGCTGACGGGTGATACAATACCCTCTCCTAGAGTTTCTCCTCTCAAGAACTCACAAAGAGATCAACAAGAAAAAAAAACTAAAATTTCATTCATAATTCATCATACTAAAATACAAGAGAGCTAGCCTATAAATAGACGTCATGAAAAGAAAAGAAACAAAGACTAAAACACTCTTCGGGCTATCACACCACATGACTAATCCTAGGGGTAAAATGGAAAAAACAGAAATATAAAATAAACTAGTGCATAAGATACATCAAAAATAAAATAAACTCCAGAAGTATTATATCAGACTTGATTAAGGGTAAATGCAATCAAAGGTGAAAAGAAGATTCTATATTGAAGAGTCAAATACTATGCACACATAATATAACCTTGACCTTACATCTAGTTAGACCACTAGACGGACAACTCATTGCTTAAAGGGCATTTAACTTCTTAAAAATTACATCAAAAGAAGCGGTACCCGAATCATGAATACAAGATGATCAAGAATGGGAAACTTATCTGGCACAATCTCATTATTTAGGGCCTGGTAGCCCACACAGAATCTCCATCTCTCATCCTTCTTCTCAAACAATAAGACTATGCTAGAAAAAAGACTCACGCTTGTGATGATCCCTGTCTCCAACATCTCTCGGATCAGCTTCTCAATCACATCATTCTGAATATGAGGATAACGGTAAGGCCTCACACTAATCGGTGACACCCCCTCCCAAAAGGTGATGGCATGCTTATGCTCCCTCGATGATAGTAATCCTTAAGGTGGATGAAAAACCTCAATAAACTGCTGTATAATCAACTGTATTGAAGTAGGAATGTCCCCCCAGTATGATCAACTCTAAGCTCTATAGCTCCACCATGAATCCCTTTCCCACCTCATGTATGCTCCTCACCATGATTTTGAGAAACACCATGGATTTGGATAACTCTACATCTCCCTTAATCACCACCCTTCACCAACTTCATCGTCAGTGCTCCCTAATTAACCTTGATAACCCCCAAGGTCTGTAGCTATTTCGTGTCAGGATGACATCAGTGCTCTCTAACTCCAATGAAAAGAAGTCATACCTCAACTGGACCCCTTGTATGGTCAGAATCACTACCATGCACACCGCCACTGACGTCTCCATCTTCCCAGTGCCCATCATCACTCCATGCACCTTGTGTCCACCAATTTCACCCACAATTGGTCTACAATCTAGTTTGAGATGAAATTATGGGTAACCCCACTATCAATCAATATCATCGCCTCACTGAGCTTCTTAAAGCATGATCCCTTCTCATTAAGTTAAAAAAGTGGTGATCATCCCGTACAAGCCTCCTGAACAGCTGCATCTGTCCCCCCTCTCCAGGTGTTTATGATCCTCCACTAACTATGATAGCTATATAACCTCTCCCAAATCACGAGGTCTCATCACTCTTACTGCTGCTACCCGGATCTCTGGTTTGAGCCCCTTCATGAAGTTCCCCTCTAGTACAGTCTTAGAAAGCCAGTCCAGTCGGCTAGCCAAGTACTCAAACCTCTCATAGTATTCCACCACTGATCCTTCCGACGTTAGAGCAAAGAATTGCTCATAGCAATCCCCCCTATTGGTTCAGAAACATTCCAACAAGCAGTCCTTGAAGACCCTCTAACTCATTGATGGTGAAATATGTCTACATCCTGTAGATCAACCTATGTGCATCCTCTTCCTAAAAAATAGACATCTTCAACTTTCTTACCTGCGGATCTCCTTTGTTTCCCCTGATTCCTCCAAAACTTCCCCTTCCCCAAGTGGGTGGTCACCCCAAGTATCTTGATCATCCCTTCCACGTTCGTACTCAAACTCTTTTTCAAATTCCTCCCTTATCCTTTAAAATCAGCATCCCTTCACTCATGATCAACCCCTCTCCTTGCAAAATCAACACCCCTTCGCTCATACCCACTACCCATCTCCTCCCTAGAAATAGACTCTAGGATAGGCATTCCATTTTCTACCCCCAAGATCTCCACCTCCTGATTTCCCCCTCGTCTTATCATATTAGGATTTCCCTTACTCCCTTGGTTGTCGGTGTCTCATTTCGTCGGCGACGACACCGTTTTAGGTTGAGCCTCGAGAAAACTTCCTCAGCATTTCTTCCACGGTGACAAACTTTTCATCTATCTTCTCATGGACGGATTAAAATTGATTTTCGAAATCTAAAATATTTTCCACAAAATCTGATTTCAATGGGTCAAACTCCCGTTTCAATACTTCTACTTTTCTTCCATTCATAGGTGTCTGGAACAAACATCTCTGATACAAATTTGATAGGAAACGTTTGTAGAAATAGAAGAAAATTTTGGCTAAAATTTAATTTCAGCAAAGTCCAAACAGTAATCGAGAAGAACAAGGTGGAAAACTATGAAATAAAGCTTTTTAATTGATGGCGTATGAAAGAAAATGAACAATATACAATGGATCTTCAATTGGAGAGGAAGATCTATGTTATGCCGGCCCTAGGGCCAACTAAACCAGTCCAACCTGGATCGGTTCTTTGCTGCAAGAGGTGGGGGCAGAACCAAGGGGAAGAGAGAGAGGGGCCGGTTGGAGAGATGGTGCCCCCAACTAATTAAACTTGCTTTGAGAGGGAAAATTTAAATTAGGAGTTGTTTAGGGATTTTGTATTTGTCCTCTTTGTTTTAATTAGTTCCTTTGGGAGAATCAGGGTTTGGATCTTGAGTTTGAAATCAAATTTGAGATCTAGGATTTGTTCATTTGGGCTCTAGGCTTGGCTAAAGATTTGGAGAGTTATTTCTTCCTTTCGAATTGAAGAAACTTGTATCGATTGCTGTTTTCATGCATCGGCTAGTGGAATTCTTCAATTTTCTCTAAGTTTTCTCCATATTTCTCAAGAAGGTTGTTGTACCGTTAATTTTTAATTGTTGTTTTTTTATCCAATCACTGCTAGGTTTGCTTGCGAACTCAAGTATTTACCTTAGGGTTACTTGCGAACTCAACTATTTCCTATCAATCTCTCTCTCTCAAATTCCTAACCGCCGTCTAGAGCCCAAACCTTCTAGGAAATTCTAATTTCAGTAAAAACATACATAACCCTAAACCTATGGCAAAACTAACTACTTAAAGCATACAAAAAATGCAAAATACTAAAACAGCCCTTCTAATTTCAAAATCTCCCCTTGTCGCCCCCTCCTCTCTTTGTATTATGTCATGGACCCCACCCCAAGGGGGCGAACAGCAACTGGGGCGGATCAGGCTTCTACCTGGAATAGAACAAAGTCGATCCCTACTGGACCGGCTGGACCAGTCCCTCCTGGACCGATCTAACCTGTCTTTTGGCTCAAGTCGACTCGTCATTCCCACAAACTAAGTTGGCTTCAACTTTAAGAATCACTAAAGCCATTGATCTATAGAAGCTCACATGACAATAGAGATCAATGTTCCATCCATGGCTTATACCAACTTTGTGATAAGTTTAGTGATAGTAGTCACTGAAGGTATCTGCATACTTAACTAGGTTATTGAGAGTCTCTTACATTTCGCCGATGCTGTGATCGGCTTAACCCAAACCCAAGTTGAGATTGTGCACTAGAGGAATTCAAGCCAAAAAAACACAATCAAAATGGAATTGAAAATAGAATAGAGAAGAAAATAAATTTGATGATAATTTACTAAAGTGATCGAACATAATGAAATTGTCATAACTAGCCAAATACATAGTTCAATGTTCCATCCATGGCTTTTACCAACATTGTGATAAGTTTAGTGATAGTAGTCATTGAAGGTATCTGCATACTTAACTAGGTTATTGAGAGTCTTTTACATTTCGCCGATGCTGTGATCGACTTAACCCAAGTTGAGATTGTGCACTAGAGGAATTCAAGCCAAAAAAAACACAATCAAAATGCAATTGAAAATAGAATAGAGAAGAAAATAAATTTGATGATAATTTACTAAAGTGATCGAACATAATGAAATTGTCATAACTAGCCAAATACATAGTTCTATAATATTACAAACAATAGGCAACTACGTTAACTAAAAAACACTTCTCCATATCTCTTAGCACCTCCCACTTCTCTTCCCGCCCAACCCATGTATGAATCAATGACTAGAAGCAACTCATCAACAAGAAATAACTCAGTGAAAAATATGAATCAACACAGAAAACATAAGAAAGCTATTCAATGCACTCAGGTCTATTCATTTGGCCTGCCTAACGAGTAAAAATGATCCAGCATTAAGTCAAATACTTAAAAAGAGAGAAAAATATGCATTCATGCAAGTATAATAAAAAGTTTTCTATATTAGACCTGTATTGTATAAAAATCTTAGTCGTGTGTGTGCGTGCACATTCTAAAGCTTTTATCAACTAACTCAATATATTTAAAAATTAGTCCTAACTTGGCTCGTAAGTTGAAAGCAACGTAAAGGTTAAAGGACCACGGTGTGACACATGTTTACTATTAGGCTAACTTATAGATGATACTTAATAGGATAAATGTAGTTCAAATTTAGCAAATAAACCTCCAATGTGTAAATGTTTTCATTATTAGAACTTTGATCTTGTCATCATCGCCATGATCATCAATATCATCATTACCAGACTTATACCAACAATATGGCGAGCAATTTGATATACAATAGGTATTTCGCCATTGCTTTTATCCAAATAAAATGGTGTTCAACTAAGGGTGGGGGTACCACAAAATTGAGTGGTAATGTTGTACTTACATTACTACTTTACCAAAAACAAGCCTGCATGATTCAGCCGCAATGCATGTAAAAGAACCCTTTAAACGCGCTTTTAGATAGGTTTTACATTTTTTTCACTTATGATTATAGCACAAAAAGGCATAAAATATGTTAAAGAATAAGATATTTCTCCATATAATTTAAAGGAATAAAATGAAAAGAGTTAGTTGCAAGTGACAAAAAAAAATCCAATAATTCAAATAGACTGCTTGCAATTTCCAAGGTTTCAATTTAGTGGGTATCATAAAGTAAAATAAGATTTTCAAAATGAAAGAGCTGAATATAGTAGAGAATAATCTACCTGTACTAGTTTGTATAAATTCTCTTGATCTTCTTCACCAAATGCTTTCCTTGACCCGGATGCAAGATATTGAGGATTTTTTGCTAGCAATGCTTTACTACTCTGAGATTGCGCCCCAAGAAAGCCTCCTGAAACAAACCCATATTTCTGTCCCCACCATTGTTCTGATTTCTCTTCAATTTTGGAACCTTTTCCAAGGATAAGTAAATCATTTAAGCCAAGAGAAAATAATAAAGCATAGGTTTCACCATTTGGCAACGCTGGCAATCTATTATTTTATAATATAAAAGCATGAATGACCTAAAAACTTCCAAAACATTTACAACATGGCAATGGAGATGTATCTATCATAAACAAAAAATTCTTAATTATTTGATAATAAATGCAAGAAGAAGATAAGAAATCATCATCAACAGCTTATCCCAACTATTTCAGACAAGTGATTCATAAATACTCATTCTTCATTTATTCTTCTTGAATATTGCATGAGTTATTAACTCAATTTTAAGCAAATCTTCTTGCACAACTTCTGGACAAGGTAAACTTGGTCTTCTTACTTTCCTTCCTAATCCTGCTAAACTAATTTTATCAATCCTCATGTGGGTTCTTCTTCTATCCTCGGTATATTCTAACCACCTATATCTACTTTTCATCACCTTATCTTTAATAGATGCTACTCCCACCATCTCTCTAATAATAAATCATCTATCCATCAATTCCTCTTAGATTTAAAGCATACATCTAAATACTGTCATTTTTGCTAAATTTTGCTACCAAACACTATTAGTCTGGAAACACTCAAATTCATATAACTTAATTGGTCTAAACATAGTTCTAAAATATTCAAAATTAAGCCTAGCTGATATTCTCTATCACATAATACACCTAACTACCTAAGGCATTTCTCCATTTTAATTACCCAACCTTATTCTCTATCACATTTTCAATGACTAAAACTCACAAAATTCACACCAATCAAAGTTATAAATCATATTACTTGGAATTTTGTTTCACTAATCATGATTATCTTCTTAAAAAGTTTTCAATTATAAGAAGTTGACAATTACAAATACCATAAACCAACCCCACTTTGAATATCAATTCAATGATTAATACAAAAATGTATATAGTTACTATTGATGAATGATATAATTTAACTATGATAAAATAAATCTTTGGTCATTCAATTACTTCTAATGCTAGACAAATAATAGAGCACAAAGTTATTTTATCAGCTAATCATTTAAGTTTTCAATTAAGTGCTGAATAATGTCGCACATAACCACATAAAACCAAACAAAGCCATATAATTACATTATTTCATTGTAATAACCTTTTCCTGAGTGCATTGCTCAGCTTAAGTAGCCGCATTGGTTCTTTATTCATATAAAGGGAAGCCCCCCAGCCCACTCCAACCCAACACTATACCCATCATTTGCTCTATTGGTACCAGACTATACAGTAAATTAGAAAAGGAAAATCAATCGAAAGACCATTTTTGTTGATTTTTCCTTTACAGATAATTTATAGTTGGGTTTAGGATTAGTTAACGGAAGTAAGAAATAGATATACACTTGTTGCGTCCAGGAGTATTCGCGGCAGTAGAGAAATATAAAGTTTAACGTCTTAGCATTGTACGAAAATCCGGCACGCAATCAGATAAGAGAAATTGTCTAGCATTTATGAGACACCAAGATTTTTACGTGGAAAACCCCTGAAAAAGGGGGAAAAACCACGGGGCCTGGCCCAATTTGAATGAATCCACTAGTATTGCAATTGATTGCAAATGATACCCTTCCTCGGGAGAAGGCCTTAGCTTGATGTACATTTTATAGAGTACATTACATAATGTGAATACAAAGAATCACTATTGACGTATTCGTTTGGTGGGAGGACCATAGTCTGGTGACGGAGGTCAGAAAGGTTGTAGTCTGCGGACGACGTAAGTCAGGAGAACCGTAGTCGGCTGGCGACGGAGGTCGAAAGGACTGTAGTCGATAGGCGACGTAAGTCAGAAGGACTGTAGTCAGCTAGCAACGGAGGTCAGAAAGACTATAGTCGGCGGGCGACGTAAGTCAGGAAGACCGTAGTCGGCTAGCGACGGAGGTCGAAAAGACTGTAGTCGGTGGGCGACGTAAGTCAGAAGGACCGTAGTCGGCGGGCAACATAAGTCATGAGGACCGTAGTCGGTTGGCGACGGAGATCGAAAGGACAGTTGTCTTGCGACGGAGGCTGGAAGGACTGTGTCTGACAATGAAGGTCAGAAGGACGGTGTCAGGTAGAAGTCCAACAATGGAAAGAAATCCATCTTCAGATATACGTCCAGTGAAAGTCTGATAACCGGTGGAAGTCCGGCGTCGGGTAGAAACTTGGCGAAGAGTGAAGGTCCGACGTCGGGTAGAAGTCTGACGTCTGTTGGTGGCCGAGGAGAACTCCGGCATCACATGGGCGGAGTTTCGGCATCAGGAGGGAACTCTGTCGTTAATTCGGAAGAATTTCAGAATCCTGTGGAACTTGGGTAGAATTCTAGAGTCTCGTGGAAGTCGGGCAGAATTCCGGCGTCATTTGGAGTTTGGGCGGAACTCCAGCGGTGGTCGAGGAGTCTCTTCCTCCTATTCTTCTCTTCTTCTTCCCCTCCTTGCTTCGGTTCCCTCTCATGAGAAATGAGGGGTCTATTTATAGATTTTCTGGAGTGGCATGGCCCGTAAATAGATGAGAGATCAGGGGCAAATGTGGAGTGGTTCGGATGAACGGTCGATATTGAATCCTTCGATCGTGGACCATTTATTAGGCATTTGAAGGTCTTTATAACTTTGGAATTCAGCGATCTTGGGCTCGTTGGATTCGTCTCGTCGAGCCGCTCGATTCGACTATAAGCTCGTCAAATTCGGAGACCGTTTGGTAACTCGAATTGTGGTACGAACTTTCCAACAACGCTTCGGGTCCTTGATTTGGACTCATTTGGGCTCATATTGAGTTGAATTTGGTGTCGTTGGGTTCGTATTTCCGAGACTCTCTGTTTGACTGTAAGTTTGCTGAAATCGGAGTTCATATGCTCACGAATTCAATTTTTGAAGTTTCCAACTTGATTTTTGCCTTGAGATTCGTGCCCGATAAAGATAATTTTATGATGACGTATCAAGACTATTTTAAGTTTTCACCTAGTCCTAATGAAAAATTTCATGGGTTTCATGGAAATATGTTTACATGTTAATAAATTGGAATAACTTAAGAAGCTGATGTTGAAAACTTTGGAAATACTCTGTTAGATAATCTTGTGCATTGATAACAATATTCCGTTACTTTGCCTTTTTCTACTCCAAATATGGCTTCAGGTGAGAATTGCATTCAACAAAAGATGTTAAGCTTCATTACCGTGTGAGGCCTAACAACCAAAAAGCTTTCATTACATTGTAAGGCCTAAAACTCAAAAGCCATTAAGAGCTTAGGAAAGCATCATAAGTTCCTATTGTAATCCAAAAATAGTAGCACAAAGAGTTTGTTAGCCAAATATGGATATCTAGTATAATGTTGTCCTTTGGACATGTGTAACTTGTTCAATAACGTCATCAACATCTGCATTATTAGCCTTATCTCAACTATTTAGAGCCAACATTATGAATTATAATTTTTCATTCATTGTTGCTAAATGCTTACTAAGCTATTAAACCTATTCTTCTCAAATCATTTTGAACAACTTCAAACATGTTAATTTGGTTTGCACCTTATCCTTCCTATTCCTCTGGAAAAAATATTATATATACGTCTAATGATGCATTTTTTTATCATTCTTTATATATATTGAAACCACCAAAGGTCATGCTCGTTAATGTTATTTTTAACAAATACTACTTCATTTTCCTCCTATAAAATCATTATTGAATTTGTCCATAATTTTCTCACACATCCATTTTAAAATTCTCATTTCAATCATGTCAACTTAACAACTGATGACTTCTTGACTACCCGATACTTGGATGCATACAACACAAACGACTTAATAGCAATTTTACAAAATCCACGTTTAGGCCTCCATGACATCCTCTTTTCACATAATACTTATTAAGCATGCATGTATTATTCATCTTCTAATAATATTGACTAATAATTGTTAATATCATTATATATATATATATATATATGTGTGTATAACATTTATAAAAAAAACATATATCAATGAAAATTATATAAAGATTATTTATTTTATCTCTATACTTTTATATTAATTAACTTAAAATAATAATGTCTCTATAATATATCTTCCTAGCATGAAACCAAATTGATCCTTATAAATTAATGTATTTCACCTTAGTTTATGTTTCATTACACTCTTCGCAGTCTTATTATATAACATATTACACATATATCATACATATTTACATATCTAAGAATAATCCTAAGAAAATGAACTATTAAACCCGTGCATACAGGGGATGTCATGATCCAATTTTTAGTAAGGCTATGGTTTACATGTCAAAAATCTATAAATGGAATGCATATAAATAATTAGCTCCAAATGAAATTAAGGCTGTCATTTTAATAATTTGAGTGACAATCCTATCTAAAAATATAAGCATTTGCTCAACAAAAATCATTAAAAAATGGTCATATAGTGTGCAAGAACAATAGAATTAGCAAAATATATGGTGTACTATCCTCCAACCATTACTTACCATCTTGATCACTTAAAATAGAATCAGAAACTTCTAATGATGTTGGCTCAATAACTAGAAGATCAGCCTGATTTTCTAGCTTATTTCCCTGCATTGCAAGCGATAGACTTGAATGAGCTTGTGACCATGTCGAGTTGACAAAGAATACATATAAATAAAGGACCGCACGAAGAGTACATGGTCCATTGGAATATATAACAAAGAAAGAACGTCAAAAACAAAAACAAAATTCCAAATTTATGGAATAATAAACCTCTGATCATCCTATAAAACCATCTCTAAATACATAACAAAACAACGAAATAAAATGCTTGAGAAGCACAAGTTTAATGCATGACAGATTGGGCTAGTGATGATGATATGAAAACTGCTCTGCAAAATTAATTGGAAGATAAATACAAATTTTAATAACCATAAGTATTAAAAAAGTGAAAGAGAAATATGTTTTTACAAGGATTCCTTGAAGATCCTTTTCCGAATATGCATTGACAGCCTTCCCCCTCTCTCTCTTCTTATACCTAATCACAGAAAAAGAATAAGACAAGCCTTTATTTTGCATAAGTAACCTAAAGAATATAAGAAATTGAGTAAACAAATTTGTGGCAACCTTCCTTGCGGTCGAGTAGCTTTCACAGCTTCATCCAGCTCCAATACCTCCGTCTCACCATTAATTTGTGTGCCCCCTTTCCCAAGCATTTCTGGAAAGAACGAGTACTATGTTAAAAGTAATACCTTTTCTGTATTTTAACAGGATACAGCAATAACACAAAATAGCAATACCTTTATCATCTGGTTGTGCTACTTGCTAAAATTGAGAAGTCAAGATCAAAACAGGAAAAGTAGTAAGGTAAAAGAAAAAAATGGGTTGTTTCAATCTCTAGTATAGTATCAAAGTTACAGTGAAATAATCAGAAATAAAAATCAAGTAAAAAATGTCAAGTACCACTTTTAATCTTTTAAGAATGTTGTCAAACTGAGACGTATCAAACACCCAGTTATTAGCAGCATTATCTAGACCGACACCTGCAACAAAAAAATGGAACGCATAGTTACAGAACTTTCTTTTTGCCGCATTGCCCATTATGTTGCAATTTTCAACCAGTGAGTTGAGACCCTTCAAAATACTTGTAACGCAAGATTTTAGGAAAGAACCTTTTGTATCCTGTTTGTTCTTAACACCAACATGTCGCTTGATCCCCTGCTTCTCTTTTCCGAGGCCTTCTCCCTCCTCCCATCCCTGGAACAAAATGCATGAAAAAATTATCGTGATAATAACAAAGGGTTGCATTCCCACGATATCTGTGAACACAACCACTGTATTCATGACAGTTTCAAACAAAGCAGAACCTTTGACCATATATTTTCAAAGTGAAACTAGATCAAGGAGAATAGTGATAGATATCAAATTAAATCATGCAAGATGCAATCAATAATATTTTTCCTATGGTCTCATCCCCCTGGATGACAGCTGCTTGAATGTTCTGATCTATATCAATATCACTCGTGGCGATTAGAGAAATGAATGAAATCAAAACCAACAGAAAGGGGAAAAGAAAACGGTTAATTTAGGGTCTTCAATGCAATGCAAAGTGTTTAGAATGAAATTAAAAAAAAGGAATAATTTTAAGACAAAAATCGACAAGAAAGTACCATCTGCTTCATAAGGCGAAACGCGGCGGACTGCCTTGCGACTCCAGCGTAACATAAGGGAGCTTCCGGCGAAGCCATGTGTGTTCACAGTTTGCCGCAACCGTCGCCGGAAGACCCTTCAGCACGAAGACGCAGTACGTGCTCCTGGAGCGCAAAATCTCAGAGAAAAGCCGATGAGGACTAACAAATAAATATTAATATAAAATATATTGGGATGATAAAAAATAGGTGAAATACATGCATCTATATATATAATTTCTAAAATTTAATTTTTTGTATAGCTTTCAGCCATTATTTTTGTGTTGCTTTTAATATATTTTTATATTATAAAATTGATTTGAAAAATAATAAAAAAATTATCTCAAATAAAATCTTAATTGGTTTGTCGCCGAGCTCCTATTGCGTTTTCTTGCTTATTTGTTGCTAAGAGCTTTAAGAATTTTGGCAAGAGTATCGCGTGCTAAGAGTTCACAAGTGAGAGCATCAATGGATCTAGATAAAACGTGAGTTTGAAGGCAAGGAAATCAATATGTCCAAGCGAGTCGACTATGTATGGGCTAGAGTATCGACAAATGGCATTGACTCATCCGTGGTCATTGGGGAAATATTTTTAATTTATTTTTTGTTTTAAGTTTTGGTGTTAAATATTAAATGATAATATTTTAAGTGTTATGTATGCAAATCCTATATATAAAATATTGTAATTTATAATTTAGAGATTATACGAAGGAAGGATTTACTTACATACCACGGTGAATTAAATCCTCTAGTTCCCCTTTTTTCTGTCGTAAATCCAGGATTTACTAAATCATATGGTTGAGCAAATTTAAATGGATTTATGGGATTTGACCGAAGAAGCGTGCAAAAGAGGAGAGAGTCTGTTATTGTTCCAATGAGCAAACTCCCATCATTGTTGAAGGAGCTGAAGAACGTCGTTGTCAAACAATCAACGGGATTTAACATAATTTAGCACTTATCTTGCCAAGTAGCTTTGAGGATTTAATACAATGTTTACTAAATATAAATTTACATGATTTACTAAAGCCAACTTGTTGCCAAACAACCCCTTAATGTACTCCCATTAGAAGAAATTCAACAATCATATTGCCCCCTATTTTCAATGAGAATTTTCAACTTTATATGATTCATAATAGTCATGATTGGATAAATATTCTATTTTCTTGAAATATTTGCGACAAAATAAATGCAATTTGTATTACTATATTTATAATTCACAAGTATTTTCCAATAAAAAATGCAAATACACGATATTTCTTAGTTTCTAAGCTATTTCTTACAATTCCACACTTTATCTCATTTCTACCATTTTATTAAGATTTCTACGTTCAACATGATAAGAAGACTGCGACGGTGTTTTTTTGATATTTGAATGATGTATTATTAAACAAATAATGCGATTGCGTATGATTCATACATAATTATTTTGATTGTAAATATGTTTTAGATGAGCGGAAAATACTTTTGATCATGAGTATTCATCTGTTTAGTTAAAGTTTGTAATGGCTATGTAGTCAATAAGTTATTTAAAGTTTTGGCAATTCTCTCTAATCAGAGTTTGAAATTTCTGTCTTGTCACCATTTGACATGGTATGATTCATTATGTCTGTGGGTTATATCGGATCGGTTTGTGATGATATCAACATTCATCACCTTTCAACCACAGTCCTCTAACCTCTGTTACTCACCAACTACAATCCTCCAATATCCGTTGCCCGAACAATGATCAATTTGAGTGAGCTAGTCCCAATTATTTTTATATCCTCTGAATTTTTTTTACATAAAAACTATGTTGACATTTATAATTTTTGCAGTCCTATCTTGTTTGTATGTGTAATATATCTTGATGTAATAAAACTATAATGCTAAACACTCTATCTCTTTACTCCATTAAATATCACGAGACACAATAATTATAAATTCTACATATGCTGAAAAAATGAATGTAGTGTAAAAACAAGGTTGTGTATTTGAAATATTTTGGAGTTGTTTGGCTGGTTATAAAATAAATACAAGGTATTATTATTATGTATTTGGATTGAAATAAAATGAATGCTATATTAAGCATGATAAATGACAACATATGGTGGTGGTAGTCGGTGGTCGGCAATGGTGGTAGCAGCGATTGTGGCGGTGGCAGCAAATAGAGAGCCCATGACGGCGATGTTCAGTAAATGCAGCCAACAGTGATGGTACGCAATAATGGGAGTCTACAAACAGGGATGACGACTAATAGTAATAGTGGTTGCGGTTGGCTATGGTGGCAAATGGTGGTAGCAGGCGGCGATAGTCAATGAAGTTCTAATATATTTAGAAATTTCTCAATGTTAAAGAATTTTAAATATACAAAAACAAAGTACTTGATAAATTTCAAATATATACAAAATTTTCAACCCATCTTATTTTGTGCATATGTCGAATGTCGTATGGAGACCAACTATAATGCGCCACGTCACTCATTCGCTCGATACCGTGGCTCGGAACGGCTTGGTACCGCGGTTCGATACTGCTGATATTAGGGGTGTCAATATCATCAGCGATCACCTACAGCCCACCGCCTGCCGTCGCGCGTGCCCGATACCCGCCGTCCCACCGCCGCTGCCATATGCAAAACCGTGTCAGGTCGGGTCAGCCTGCCAACCTGAAGGGTCAGGTCTGGGTCCGAGTTTCCGACCCGTTTACATACTGGGTCGAGTTAGGGTCGGCCCGTTTGAACCTGAGTCAGTTTCGGGTTCGACCCCAACCCGACTCGAAACCTAATTTTGACACCCCTAACTGATATGATTGCACCTGATTCATTTTCTAACCTCCTCACTAAATAGGGAACTTTTATTAGGTCCGGTGTAAGGACGTAGAGGAAAGTCCTGTCGGAGGCAAAATCCCGCGAAAAAACTCGGTATTTGCTCGGTATTGCTAGGTATTATTTGATAATATCGAGGAATACCGCTCTGTGAAGATCAATACCGAGTTGTACCGAGCTATACCGAGCAATACCGAGTTGTACCGAGTTTTTTGTAGGAAAAACTCGGTACAACTTTTGTATAACTCGGTATTGCTCGATAGAGCATGATATAACTCGGTATTGGATCTTCACGTGATGGTATTCCTCGTTATTGTTTGGTATTATCGATATTTGCTCGGTATTTCTTATTTTTTGGCACGATTTGACCTTCGATCGGATGTTTCTCTACGTCCGATCGGAAGACGTAATAATTGTTCCTGAATAGGGTCCTTAACTCTATTTTATTTATTTTTTTTTTTCAGATTATGGGATGAGTTTCCGAAATATTTCCCAAATTCATATATAACGTTCCATTCCAAAACCTAATTCGCTAGTCTTATCAACCTTTCCTTCTTTCTCATCTGTCAGCCGTCGCTCCAGCTACGGCAAATTACGTTGTGCGTCTCAGCTCAGAGCACGCAGCAGCCGAATCCACCATGCATGATTCCACCCCGAGCTCACTGAATCCACTAACCATCTTCATATTTCGCTCGATTCAATGCTCTTGTGCTCGACTAGTTAGGCTTCCAACCAGTCGAAGCAAACCCTAGCACTTCCCATCCATCGCCTCTATCGTTTTATTATTATTTTTATTGAAATACGAATCATTCTAAAGATGTATTGCTGACGGAATGCGCCATGCATCATTTTCACGGTTAAATCCTTAGAGAAGGAGCGTGTCGTGTTGAGGGTAGTCGGTCTTGCTAGAAGGAGTTGTTGAGGTCGTCAGAAGGTTGCTGGTCGTTCCGGTTGTGGCCGAATAATGCGCGAAGATCTTTGAGGTCCTTGATGATATCGGGTTTGGGAGCTGCAGCGACTTATTCTTTGCGATCTTCTCGGCTGATGAAGGAAGTAGGTGTACAGGAATTAGTTAGATCCAACCCATTAGTCCTCTCTCTTTCTCTCATTAAGCTGTAGTGTATGCAGATCCACAAGCAGTGTGTGCTGTTTATGTCAACGGAGTGTTATAGAAGGGTAGGTGTAGGGCAAGAAGACCCGTTGCGTCATGGAGCTTGGTTTGGAATTGGGGGAAGCTGGATTCGAAGTTTAAAAATATCATGCTGCTAATTGGTATTGAATCTGGAAAATTGATTATGTTGGGTGCATCCAAATTTTTTTAATTTTTTTCATACTTTTAGTTGGCTATTTTTATTATTAAGCCAAAATATTTATTGTTTTTTAGGATCTTATGATCATATTCAATCTTCAAAAACTGGTTTTTTGTTTTCTTGATGAAAAGTATAAGAATATACAATAATGATCTACATGACATAAGAACAACAAGGAGCTACATCAGAGACCTAACCTTTTTTTATTTGTTATTTGAAGTATTTATTTTTTGCTATTTTTTGGTTTTTCAGCTTACAAAATATTATTTGTTATTATTTTGAATGTAAAGTAGCTTTTCACGTGCATGGTTTCAATATCATGAATTGCGCCGGGATCAGATTAGGTTTTATGCAATTTGAGTATTGATGGAAATGCACTTGCCTTGAAAGCATTTGCTGATTTAAATTTCTTCTCCTTTTGAGAAAGTTTAAACCGTTTATTGCGTTTCTTACTCTTTTTAACTGATATTTTTTGTCATACCTTATTCTTAAGTTTTATGAACCACTTTTTTTAAGATTATTGGGTTATCCTTTATTTTCTATTATTTAAAGTTGCTTTATTGTTTTTTGTGTTATGAAAGCACTTTCTTTGGTGGGTGGTTGCAAGATGAAATTGGTGCAAAATTTTCCTGTTTAAAACTATTGAGTTAAACCTTATTTTATATTATTTAAAGCTAGTTTTTTGTTATTACATAAGCATCACATACATCAGCTTTGAACCAAAGACCTCTTTGTTGGTAGCCAAAGCTCCCAACCAACAAAGCAAGGTGAGTTGCGGTTTTTTGTGTTATGAAAAAGCTTTTCTTCGATGGGCAGTTGCAAGATGATGAAATGCACTGGGCTCTGAACATTTTAATAATGTGGAAATGCATTTGCCTAGAAAGCATTGGCTGATTATGCACATTATCTTCTGAAAGTATTTCTCTCTTTTTCCTAAGAAATTGAAACTATTTTTTGCACTCTTGTCTGTGCGTGTTTTTTTTTTTATTATTAATTGTGATATTCCTTTGAAAGTCTCTTCTTCTGTTTTAGAAGCTTTAGAGATTGTTTAGTTATCATTAAAATGCTTTTTCTGCATATAGAAGTATTAATGATGAGGTCAATTGTAACGGTTCTGTTGGCTTGGCAAGAAACCCTTTGTTTCTATTAACCAACACTGAATAATTTATTTTCAATGGTTTAAAAAAGGATGCTACACATCTAAATGTAAATAAATTCCATTGTGCAGTAGCCATAGTAAGATCAGTCTGCTCCTGTTGCTTGATATTTAATTTTATTTTGCAGTGATCTGATTTTTGTTTACTTTATTTATCTTTTGCGAGCTATAGTTTCAAGACTTTATGCTTTATATATGTTACTATATACTTTTGGAATTGCCAACCTAATAATCTCAGGCTTCGACCTAAGCCATTGTGTCTAGTCTAACCATTGCAATTTAAGAGTGAGGGATGAAGATAAAAGTCTTTGGGAAAGAGCTACCCGGTGAGAGCCACTTTTTTGCTGATTATTTTTAATTAAGTTTATATTCATATCTTCTTCTATGGAGCTCTTTTGTTGTGGCTCTTTTTTGTTTTGTACAGCTGGTTAAGTTTTTATTTGTTGATTTTATTTTTGAAGGGACTTGAATGTTAAGTGGCAAGTTGTTTCTCCCAAATTCATTGAATTTTTCATTCTTTTATTGGATCTGCTATTGTTGTTTCTTCTATTCAACATTATGAGCTCTAATTTTTTTGGCTTTAGTATGACATGATATATTTGAGATCTGACAAAGTTCTCGTATTGACAAAAATACATAACAAAATCAAGCCTTTGTCCCACTGCGTGGGGTCGACCACATGAATCTTTTTTCTAAAGGATTCATGTCATGATTATTCGACAAATTTTACGCTAGCTGTTGATTACCTATTGCAACCCTCCACTTTTCTCATCCAGGACTTGGACCTGGCCGGCCAATTCTCTTTTTTAGCTGATATTGGTTTGCTGTTTTAGTTGAATTGTCAATTTTTTTTTTCTTCAAATTTTAGTTTTGTTACTCTATATTCTTATTGTGGTAGCAATCTATTAAATTGTTAGATGTTTATGATAAATTTAACTCTTGATCTTGTAGGGTCTTCTATTATAAATAGAGATGCATGAGATCGTGTGAAGACAATTTGATATTGAATAAAATGATGCTTGACATTCTCTCTACCCTCCTAGACTGTGTGCTTGATACTCTTCCCCTGTTTATTCTGTTCTCTTTTCTTCTCCTTCTTCAACCATTTCTTCAACCATTTAAGGCTTTCATAACTCTTTTGTTGTTTGTTGGCCATGAATTGGTATTAAAGCCCAACTTTCTTTTGAACATCTTCTTCGATAGTTCAACAAGACGATGTTCAATGTCGTAATGAAGATTAGTTAAGGAATCCATGAGGTTCTCAATGCTATCATTTGGTTTTTCATTTAAGTTGCCGACCACTTTAATGAATGTATTATTTTCTCATGATGGCTCATAATTAACCTATCTGAACCTTAAAACCAAGTCAAAATCCTGCAAAACCCTCCCCAACTCTTCCCCCCCCTTTTGATTTTTTCTTCTTCTCATGTTCTGATCTTTTTTGTGTATTTATTTCACTGCTTCAATAGCTGCCACAGCACACAAGCTATGCTACAACAAATGCTATAATGCTCATCCATATCCACCTCCATAAAACTACTTCAAATTCAAAATTTGTTTCATTTCAGACCAAAAATTATCCACTTCCTAAACATCATTAGTAAATCTAAATCCTAAACCACACATCAACCTTCTTAATGGATATTATCCGGCCACTTCCCCTATTTTTATTTTGTGAACTATACTTTTGCTATTATGTGAATGGTAACTTAATTGTTCATGTTACCAATATGCCTTCACTCCATTAAAAAAAAAAATCCAATCAACTCCACATAAGCCTATCTAATCTAACATATTTACCGACCATATGTTTTACTCAATCAAACTTAGGCTTCGTTTGGGAGGGCTTTCTTATTGCTTTATAAAGCAGCTTTTTAGTTCAAAAATGATCTAGAAAGTCACTTTAAGAAGCAACAAGAAAGTTATCCCAAACGAAGCATTAATCTAAATATTGTCAAACTAATCCAATTAATCACTCAATCTATCCCAACTCAAATAAACCAACCCAGATCAATCTTAGCCATGTGGCATTACGATGAAAAAGGAATAAACATATATGAAGATTCTTTGTCTGCTCAATGGGTCTACTTCACACTTAAATTGCATAAAGTTTATACAATTTGATCAAGTCTTTTTGAACAAAAATATACTTTTAGGGATGTTTGATAGTTTTAAATGAATTTATAGAACACTTCATACATGTGTTAAAGATGAAGATGCTTTCTGTCCTTACACAGGTAAGTGAAATATTCAACTTTTCTTCTTTGAGAGGGATTCTCCTTCGGCTTTTCTGATGTGTTCCCAATGTGATAGATTTTATTTCCTTATTTTTGAGGCGCGTAGATCATTGTTTTACTGAATAGATAGTAGATGATGAAATGCACTGGGCTCTGAGCAGGTTTTCTGCAGTTAAATTACTGATGGAATTGCACTTGCCTAGAAAGCATTTTCTGATTATCCCATAATCTCTTCAGAAAAGATCTCATTTTTTTGGTCTTTCTTTTCCAAAATTTGAAACAATCTGTCATGTCTTTAAATTGATTTCGATTCGAGATTACTCTGCGCTATGAAAGTCTTTCTCATGTTCTAAGAGATTTATAGACTAACAGTTACATTGTAATAGTTGTTGAAGCATCAGTTTATTTTGCGTGGATAATATTATAATGAATAAATAAGAGCTATTTAGTCAGTTTTATTTATTTACTTATTTAAGAGAATGGGTTGCATGCTCCATTTTTTTTTCATAGGTTAGAATGAAATCAGTAATTCTGTAAATAATCAAACATATAAATGGTAAGAATTATGTCTTGGAGCTAATTGGATATATGGTAAGAATTATGTCTTGGAGCTTCTGAATGAGAGCTGCTTTCTTCTGCTATTATCTTCTTTTCTTAAATCTCCAAAAAATTTTTTTTGTGCATTTCTTTTCTTATAGAGAAGCATAATATTTGTGTTGAAAAGATGAGGATAATCAGGTGGATGAGTGGCTTTACTCTTCGAGACAAGATACGGTCAAATATATATAGGTGAAAAGGTTTGAGTAGCTCTAGTTGGAAGTAAAAGTTTAGAGAGAGTCTTCACCTTAGATTAGTTTGATCACATAAAATGGCGGTTTTTTGATGATCCAGTTAGGAGAGTAGATGTATTAAATTTTTTGTTTATGTTAAAAAATGTAGAGATAGACATAAAAAATTTAAAAATATTAGAAATGACATTTCTTTATTAGAAATAAAAATATTACCGATGATGGCATCACAAACCTCTAAGAAATTCCGAGCTTTGCTACTCTTTTATGTTTTTTCTTCCTTATAAGGTTTTCTGCGAACATTGATTTCTTCTGTGAAGTAAGCGGCTTTGTTTGATTAATTTATTACGTTATTTCTCCCAAACAAGCTGGCGAGGTGACGAGGAAATTCATGGTCTGTCAATCCACTGATTGATGAAATCGTGATGTTGCAAATGAATCCCGACACGTTCTGATCGCCCGCAAATTGTTTTATTGTGAACTTCCTTCGATTTTTAATGCTTTCAATCTCCTCAATCCTCTATTGTTTTAGTAATGCCCGCAAGAAATTCCCACAGATCTCCGTTTTCATGGGTAACTGATGTAGTGGATCGTCGGAAGATGATACGTGCAAGAAGGATTTAAGGATTCCCAATCCAGGGAAGAAGAAGAGAGCTTTCTCAAAGCTTCAAAAGAGTGTTTTTATCATTCAATGTCTTTCTCCTCTTACACATTCCCTATATATAATGCCAAATCAAGGAAAACCTAGAGAATCCTAGAAGATTCTAGAAAAGTTATAACAAACTACATAGTAACCTGATGCATGTGTTATGATTAGGGCTGTCTATCGGGAAGTGTTGTCACTGTGCCGAAGGGAGATTGGGAGATTTCCGTTCGAGGAAGTACGCGCGTTCTAAGTGATCAAGCTTCTGGTAACTCTCCGTGATTTCTTATCTGTTTTATTTTTTATTTTTGATTTAAGTTGCTGTGCTGGGAATTTCTTTTCTGTTGGTTTGCTCTAGTCATTTATGATTTTTGCCTTAATAATATATTGACATTAAAATTTTTTGTTTTAATATATTTGTTGGATTATATTTGCTTATGGTATAAATAGCAACTAATTATAAGATAATGAAGAAAGATAATTTAATTGGGATTTTTTTGGTGACAATTAGGTTGAGCTGTAATCAAATTGAATTAATTGTTTAGATGATTATGAATGAAGAGAAAAGATAAATACATAGTTTTTTTTTTAAAGAATTGTTGTAATTTTAAATAAAGGTAATTGTAAAATTGTTATATAAAAAAAATAGCTTTTTAGAAAATTATTGTAGAAAGAATGGCTTCTTAGTAGAAAAAAGTTATCGAAAGCGGTAGTTAAACAAAAAATGTAGTTGGAAAGTTAAAACATTACAAAAGTTAGGATACTTTTTTTTACATTAAATAGTGGGGTGTTGTAGCACTACCTTGCGTTGAGTAGTTTTCGTGTGCTAATTGGTGTGCGTTGACAATGGTGTTGTTTGCTGGGTAAATTATTGCATCTGGTCACCTGATGGAGAGATTTGTTCGGATCGCTCTCTGTCTACAATAAAGCGGAAGTATGTTACAGTAGCTGCGCTTTTACTGTAGACAGAGAGATATCCGAACGGATCTCTCTGTCAGGTGACCGGATGCAATAATTTGCCTGTTTGCTGTGGGTTTTGTTGGTCGGCTAGTTTGGTAGTTTGTATGTGTTTGGGTTCGATTTTTGTCCTGAAATGTTTGATTCAAATATTTTTTGGGTTTCAAAATTATTTGAACTTATATTTTAGACTCAATTTTTTAATGTTGATAATCAGATTAAAGCAAATTTAAAATGTTGGAGAGAAATTATAAAGCACATTTTCTCTAATTAATATCTTGATTTAATGGAATATTAAAATTATAATTAAGGATATTTTGCTTGATTTATGGTTTCAGGAAGGTCCATGTTGACATCCCCTGAGTGGTTGAGCCTTGTAATCATATGAAAATTATAATATTATTTTATGATATTTTGCTGTCTTTTGTTCTTTGCTAATGAAAATTTTGGTTAAGATTATTGATGGTGATTTGAGTTGTATTATTTTCTTGTTATCTTATGATTGTAGTAACCTTTGGGCTCTATATTCTGCTTCTTTTAAAGTAATTTTTTGATACAAAATTTTTTTAAACTAAATTTTATGTAGTAAGATGTTTTAGAAAACAATTTGAAAGTTGTCTCAAATGAAAATTAAATGTTGTTTGGGATGATTTTTTTATTGCTTCTTAAAGCAATTTTTCAATATAAATATAAAAATTAAAAATTAAAAATTGAAAAGTTGTTTTAAGAGACATAAGAAAGTCGTCCCAAATGAAGTTTTAGTCATCATAATTAATTAGTTTAGCTAAGGTAAAATAAGAGGTGATAAAATGAAATATTAAAAAAGTACTTTTACTTTACTATGGTTCTACCTAATCAAATAAGGGAAACAATTCTTCTGTGTTTATTTTACGGACAATCAAATAGATTCAAAGTATTTGGAATGTACTGTATTTACTTTACACTGTATTTTTTTTTTTTCAGGCAACCAAATAACCCCTTAATAATTTTTGTATTGCCGGTGGTTAATTTGTAATGAAAAGAGGATCAAATTGATTTCCTAGTTTTTATTGAAAGTACAAAATAATTCTGACTACTTAAAAAGTATCAATTTGATCTCTTAACTCATTAAATAGGGATCAAATTAATTTTTCTATGAAATTGTTTAGGCCTATTTAAAATATTTAGGAACTAAACGAGACTTAAATAGTTGAAGATCATTTCGTAACTAGTCAAGTAATTATTTTGATTCTTATCTCATTTGTAATATCAAATATATATGAGTGTTCCTTGAAGATTCATTGATGGTTCTCTTTTTTATTTAACATTTATTATCATAATAATTATTATTATTATTAGAGGGTTCTTCAATTTTCTTATGCTGAGAAACGCAATATGAAATAAGTAGCTAACATTTATTAATTCATTAATTGGATAATCCTTAAATTTCTTAATTATCTGATTATCTCATTTCCTCTTTTGAAAATATTATCATTATGTTAAATTTATTTTAAATTTTGAATGATTGTGTTAATTTTCTTTTTATATCTTTTAGAATAATAATAAAAGCCTCTTCTTTTCAAAAGATAATTTTAGAAATATTGATTAATGAAATGAAATTTTCTAACCGAAAAAACAAATATAAAAAAGTATCTTAAAACAGTAGAAAATGAAGGTACCTTAAAAATATTTTTATAGAAGCATCTCATTTATTCAGTGAACAAAAAGTAATTTACTGTTTCTAAACAAAAAGGATAAAAAATTTTTAAGATTTCGTTTAGATAGTTTTTAATTATTTTATAGTAATTTTTTAGTTAAAAAAATTGTTATAAGGTGTTTTACCTAAAAAATATTTTTATGGAAGCATCTTATTTATACAGTGAACAAAAAGCTATTTACTGTTTCTAAACAAAAAGGATAAAAAATTGTTTAGATTTCGTTTAGATAGTTTTTAATTATTTTATAGTAATTTTTTAGTTAAAAAAATTGTTATAAGGTGTTTTCGGGCTGTTTTTTTACTGTTTTTTGATGTAGCATTTTAATAAAAAAATAAAAAAATTTGAATTACAAATTTATTTTAAGAAATAGGAAGTAACCTGCGGAAACTAGTGGCAAAAGCTATTACATTTGCTGCCTCGTATTTTCTTTCTTACAATATTGTATTGTTGATTGTATTTTTCAATGAGCCCTTCTAAGGCTTTGTTTGGTTTCCACCGGCGTTTTTTTCATTTTTAAATGGAAGTATTAGAACGGATAAGCGAAATTTTTTAAAATTTCCTTCTCAAATCGGTGAAAATTCAGAGTTATATCAAAAGGTCTTTTGAAAAAGTGATGCAAACAAACATTAAAATACTCATTTTTCACCGATTTCAATCGTAAACTTAAAAATTTACGGGCAACCAAACGAAGCCTAAATGTGGTCCGGCGGGTTGAAGGATGTACCAACGAAATTTCTTTAGAGGGGTTTAGAGTGCAATATGTCTTGTGGTGTTTCACTGTCCGTATTTTATGAAACCAAAACAAATGTCGTATTTGTGGCGGATTTGTTTGTTGCGTTGACCTATATTTCTACAACAACAACAACATCAAGCCTTTATCCCACTACGTGGGGCCTATATTTCTGATATGAATAAATTATTTCTCTCTCATTCCATGAACTATTTGGTTCACTGAATCCAAAATTCAGGAGATTGGCTTGAGAGCTAAAAATCTGTAGGGTATATTTACTCTGGTTGCTATTTTCAGTAAATGTGTTATTTTTGCAAATATAAAGTAAGGTGAGTGCTACAACACATTTGATATCAATTTCAGGAGATTTTCAACAAGCCTAAGTACTAAAATACTTCATGAATTTAAATTAATTTTATCTCACAGGTGTAAAAAAACAATTCAAACATCATATATTAAAACAAAATTATATTTTATAGTACTATAAGAATCAGTAAATAATCTCAGAAATTTTTTAATGCACATAAAATATAAGGATTATTTTTTTCTATATTGTTTTTTCTTTAATATTGTAATTTTTTGGTTTTATATAATTAATTTTTTTAATCTTCAATATTGTCTCGATACTATAATGGATGTAAAGGCTTTTATGTTGACAAAAGGTTACTGATATGTGATTGAAATATGTTACCTTGGCTAAGAGCATCTCCATCCGAATGCTTAACACTCGTTTGACATCATTAGTTTGCTCCATTCGATCGTGAAAAAAAAAATCTATTCAGGTGGAACAATTATTAGGTCCTCCGACCGGACGTAGAGGAACGTCCGGTCGGCACTAAAATCCCGCCAAAAAACTCGATATTGCTAGGTATTATTTGGTAATAACGAGGAATACCGCTCTGTGAAGATCAATACCGAGTTATACCGAGCTAGTATTGCTTGGTATTTGCATGATGATATTCCTCGTTATTGTTTGGTATTGCTCCGTATTTCTTGTTTTTTTGGCGCGATTTTAGCTCCGACCGGTCGGAGGACCTAATAATTGTTCATTCAGGTGAGGGTGAATAATGCTTCGCCCGATAATTTTTTAAATATAAATATATGATTAAAAAATATAAATAAAGTATGAGAAAGAATATACATAGAATGTTCTTTTTTTGTGTTAGAAAATGAAGTTTGGTTGAAGATGAGTTACTACATTTTGATTTATTAAAATATTTTTTTAGTGAAAATTGAGTTTTTCGGTTGGAGGTGCCCTAAGGCCATAAAACTAAAACTAACACGTTCATTATTAGAGGAATAATATCTTAAAATTATTTTCATTGTATTTTATATTTATCTTTTTAGATTTTTCTCATTAACTTATCATTTAATTTAGGCATCCAACATTTTGTATTCATAAATATTATATATGCTCACTATTATAAATAAA